TTAAAAATATATAAAAACTAAAATACATTTCTGAAACCATTCAAAATAATTCCCTTTTTGTGATAAAAAGTATATATTCAAATCTATTTTTCTTCATATTATTTTTTACCTTCAAAAATATCGAAGAAAGAAAAATTACCATCGAAATGAGAAGATTTATATTTTAAAAATATGTTTTGTGCTTTTATAGTTACACGAGCTTATTTTCTACGTTCACTCGCAGAAGAATTTTTCCAGTGTCTGTGTTATTTTTTCGGGATAGAGTTCAATATCCTAACATCGACCTTTGTAAGAACTGAATGTATGTACAATGTACAGGGTTGGTCAAATTCGACGCTTGTAAATTTAAACATCCTTTTCTGGAGATAGACAAAAGCCAATATCGGTGTCTGGGCTCAATTTTTTGTCAAAAAACATGATGGTGAAAACCGCATATCGATATCTGTTACCGTTCCGAAGTTACCCTTGATTACTTTCCCTTTTCTTTCGTTTTCAAAATATGCATTTTTAACAAATCGCTGTAACTTTTTTTGCTATGGCAAATTTGTATTTTATGAAAACATTTTTCAAAGTACTTTTTACGTAGAATTTAATGGTTTAAGTATATTTTTTAAATTAATAATTTACGAATTATAAACAGAAATTTTTTTATTTTTTTATAGGACACCCTGTATATTTTAATTTATTAGAAAATTTTTTTTTTTTTTTTTTTCCAAAAATATAACACATGATGTTTGCTCTGTACTTGGAGATATAGAGTATAAAAATTCGCCCGCTTTAAATTAGTAGGCTTTGAACGGCTGTGATGCAAAAAATTCTAGCTGTGAGAATCAACGTGCAAACGAAAATAATATTTGCAATGAGAGTTGCAGAATTTTATAACATTTAAAATATATTTAACCAACATCAACACATATAAACTATATCTAATAACAATAAAATAATAACAAACCAAGACATGAGATTTTGCTACAAGGTGTTCGACATATTGACCGTCTTTTGTTATGGACAGACGGGGCTGTTTTCGAACATTTCTCGCGGAATTCATTAACTCAGTAGAGGTGAAGACGACCCTCATAACAGCTAAGTATTTCTAATTCTTGTCTGAGTTATACGGAGGAATAAGAATCCTTTATTCTTCCGCAAAAAACTCACGTCCATGGGCACTAAGTAAGGCGGCCTCGACGGCCAACGGCTGGGATCTTGGGTAGCTATTGAATTATCCTTGAAATTGTGGCTGCAAAAATTTGCTGATACTTCAGCGTTCTGGTGCGTCGCGTCGTTTTGCTGGAAAAATATGTTTCGAGTTCCATTAAGGCATATCATCAATAAAGGGTCCAAAGACTACTAGCTAAAAGTGGCGAACTTTCAAAAAATCTGTATTTCGAAGGGAATTATAACAAAATATCAAATTACTATATTTATGGAAAGTAATTTTAAATTAACAGGTTTAATTAAAAATATAGAGGGTAAATCAATTTTCTGTTGATAGCTTCCAAATTATTAATTTTAAAAAATTATACTTAACCATTAAATTTTACGTAAGGTGCTTTAAATGTTTTCATAGAAATACAAAATTTTCCATAACAAAAAGTTACAGCGATTTGTTAAAAATGCATTTTAAAAAAAAAAACACCCCGTAACTCCGAAACAGTAACAGATGTTGATGTGCGGTTTTCACCATCATGTTTTTGATGAAATTGAGCTCCAAGACACCGATATTAGTTTTCGTCTATCTCCTATAGAAAAGGGTGTTTCCTTTTAAAAGCGTCGAATTTGACCCACCCTGTACATGATAACAGGGAATAATAATAATAAATAATAATAATAATAATAATAATAATTAGCCTTCAATGTTCTTTGATTCTGTTCCTCACGATTGGCTTTTGAAAGTCCTTGAATTATATAAAATCAACCCAAATATAATTACATTCCTTAGTCACATCATGAGGAAATGGAAATCGCAAATACTCTTAAATAACCGCTATATGACAACTATAAACATCAGAAAGGGTATATTTCAGGGTGATTCACTCAGCCCACTATGGTTCTGCTTAGCGCTAAACCCACTGTCACATCTGTTGAACCAATGTAAATCAGGATATAGACCTGACTTAAAGGATAGCATCAACATCAGCCACCTATTATTTATGGACGATATAAAGTTATACTCTGAATCCAACAACAACTTGAAATACTTACTTAAAATTGTTCAAATATTTAGCGATGACATCAGGATGGATTTTGGAATGGATAAATGCGCTGAGATACATATACGAAAGGGTAAGATTGCTGAACTACCAAATGAAGAAGTACTATTCCACCAACTGACATCAGATGAAAGCTACCATTATCTAGGGATACAACAAAACAAGAGAATCGACCATACTCGTTTAAAAAAGGAATTCAAAATCAAATACAAGAGCAGGCTTACTAAGTTACTTAATACCAAATTAAATGCAAAAAACCTTATTACTGCAATAAATACCTACGCTGTTCCTATTTTGACCTACTCTTTCGGTATACTAAAATACTCAGACACTGACCTGAGAAACCTTGATATCTTAACCAGAACCACATTCACAAAATTCAGAATACATCATCCCAAAAGTGCCACTCAGAGGTTGTATTTACCTCGAAAAGAGGGAGGTAGGGGACTAACTAATATAACTGAACTATGTAGATCATAGGAGAAAAAGATGCGAGAGTACTTTCATTGTTCTAACCACCCATTATTGAGAAAAATCGCTAAATGTGACACAAACTTTACCCCACTTAACCTTCACTGTCACGAAGACATTATAGACGACCACAGACGAAAAGAAGAAATGCACCTAGAATGGCAAAATAAAGTGCTACATGGAAAATATCCTACGGCCTTAAACGATCCAACTGTTGACAAAGCATCATCGCTGCTGTGGTTAACTAAGGGAAATCTTCATGCAGAGACCGAAGGATTCATTATATCTGTTCAAGATGGGGTGATCCGTACCAGGAACTATGAAAGATATATTCTCAAAAATACAGAGATGTTTGTGGATGTTTGTAGGGTATGTCATAGCTTCGGTGAAACAATAGAGCATGTAATTGGGGGATGCTCAGGATTATCAAACTCTGCATACTTGGGAAGGCATAACCAGATTGCAAAAATTATCCATAGGCAACTGGCAATTCAATACCGGCTAATAGATAACCCTCCACCATACTATAAATATCTGCCTGCTGCAGTGCTGGAATCGGACAACACTGTTTTATACTGGGACAGGCCAATAATAACTGACAGAACAGTTGACTACAATCGCCCAGACATCGTCATCATCGATAAAGCAAACAAAAATGCCATTCTTGTTGATATTGCCTGCCCGCTGAGTGCCAACTTACAAAAAACAGAAAGGAAAAAAAAATAGCAAAATATCAAAATTTGTCTGTGGAAATCAAACATGCCTGGAAGTTAAAAGAAGTGCGAATTATCCCCATCGTTATATCTTCAACTGGAATCGTATCAAGGTGCTTTGCGGGAAATCTAGAACGGTTGGCTCTACCTAATGGACTTATTGTAACAATTCAGAATGCAGCTATTCTCCAGACGTGCCACATTGTGAGAAAATTTTTAAGCATTTGATAGGTTAAGTTGAATTTCTTCCCTGTTAAATGCAAAAACCGTTAGCTACCTTCTCATGTTGAGAAGTGTCTCAAAATTTAAATAATAATAATTAGCCTTGAACTTGCACCAAAACTTTATATACCCATTCAAAAAACAGTTATCCTCCACACATGTAATATTACACGACAAGTCTTAAATACACAGTAAAAAGCGTTGACGCTTGACTTAAGTCCGCGACTACGTTAAATACCGGAAAGCCCGAGATTCAAGAAGATAATAATAATTATAAGCAACTAGACGCTGTACCAAAAGCAACTAGACGCTGCCCTAAAACTCACCTATCAGATGAGCACTGATATTGCCATGGACTTCGGTGTCAAAAAGTGCCAAACAATAACCGTTGAGAGAGGAAAACTGATTGAGGGACCTGAATTTCAATTGAACCCAAACACAAAAGTAGCATCGATGTCCCGTGATCCATACAAATACCTTGGAGTTCTGCAGACAAACAAGGTTGAACATAGCAAAATTAAGGAAATACTTACTGGTCAATTCAAGACACGACTAAAAAAGCTATTAAAAAGCAAGCTTAGTTCAAAAAACCTGACCAAAGCAATTAATAGCTATGCCATCCCAGTTTTGCAGTATTCATTTGGTGTTGTAAAATGGACACAGACTGACCTGGAACGGATCAACAGGTTGGTAAGAACGGAATTATCAAAATTTAGAAAACACCATCCAGGATCGGCAGTGGAAAGGATAAACTTGCCTCGAAAAGATGGAGGTCGCGGAATCATCGATGTGGTTGCTTCTTGCAAACAACAGATAAATCATCTCAGGAAATATTTTAGGAGCACAAACAATGACATCCATAGAGCTGTGGTAAAAGTGGACAACAACCTCACTACACTTAACCTGAACGCTGATAACCATGACCACCTGTCTGTAAAAAACAGAGAGCAGTCACTTAGAGAGTGGGGCTCGAAAGCTTTGCATGGACGTTTTTACAACGAGCTGCAGCGAGAAACGGTGGACAAACAAGCATCTGTTCAATGGCTCGTCGATGGGTACTTGTTTCCAGAAACGGAGGGCTTCATGATTAGCATCCAAGACCAGGTTACCGCTACACTGAGCTATAGGAAGTTTATTATGAAAGAGAATATAACCTCAGTTTCGTGTCGGAAATGCAAAATGGAGTCGGAGACAATAGAACATATTCTCTCAGCTACTGGCGGGAACAAAATATGTGGAAATACATGACAGAGTAGCCACGATAGTCTATTTAGAACTACTAAAAAACTATTCTTTTGAAGTTGAAACAAACATAAGATATTACCAATATAAGCCAGCGCCGGTAGTGGAGAATACAAGGGCCAGGGTATACTGGAATAAAGGAATGATAACTGATAAAACGATACCACATAACAAACCCGACATAACAGTAATTGACAAACAACATAATAATGCATTCGTCATCGATATTTCCATACCAAACAATCACAATATGGATAGAAAGCATAGAGAAAAGGTTGAGAAGTACACCGAATTAAAACGCGAAATTAAAGATATGTGGCGGCTCAACGAGGTCAAAATTGTTCCGATCATCCTGACATCAATGGGACTGATACCAATAAATTTGAAAAATTCTCTGGAAGATATTGGAATTCAATACAAGACTTACCGTAAAATGCAAAAGTCGGTAATACTTGACGCAACCAACATCGTCAGGTCTTTCTTAGAGTAGTAGAAATGGGCTACCATCCTGCAATCACACGCCGATGGTAGTTGCAACGCACGGTTTCAAAGTAGAAACCTGCCAAAAAAAATATATATAATTGCTTTATAATAATAAAATCGACTAAATCAGGTAAACAGATTTTGTATCCTTTATCTAGAAAATATAAAATTATTGTTTGGTCTAGTAAGCAGTTGGTTGTTTATTTATTTTTAATCGAGTTTTTAAACAGAAACAAAAATATATGTATTTTGTTATGATTACATATTTATTTCTGCATAAAACATTTGCAGTGTTTAAATCAAATCTGTTTCTTCTATTTGAATTCAATTTCACTTTTTACATAAAAAATCCGGGCACAATGTCTTTTCCGATTTGTATACTGTGAGTAAATACAACTATACAGGGTGGCCCATCGAAAACGTTCCGCAAGGCATAACGGCCAGGGTATTTATTTCTTCAAAAATCAAAAACACGTCAATTTTGTTTTGTGAGGGACAACTTTTTTGTCCCATAAATGACAAAATATTCAACCCTCTAAGCGGGGTGTCATCCCCCAACTTTTTCAAATGGGAAGGGGGGGTCAAGTGGCGCCCCAATGAAAAGAGCTTTCTATTCTCTATATTTCCTCTTTTGAAAATCGGTCGAGTCATTGAGAAAATATGAAGGATTGAAATTTGAAAAAGTTTATTTAAACATTTATCCAGAGTAAATGCTTAAATGGGATAAATTTCTTCGATTTTCCCTCTGCCTCTTTTTTATTCATAACGGAAAAAGTTTGGCGAAATTTTGCTACTAACTCGCGAACAATTTTGCCATAAAGGTGTTTTTCAGGATGGCGTTCATTGAACATCTGCATAACCCCACTGCCATTCACTATTTTAAAATAAAAGTTCGATTATTTCCACTTTTCTGCAAGTGAGTACACCATAATGGTTAAAAAGTTTAACGATATTGAGAAGAGCTTCAACGCACAAGTCACCGAACAGCTATCTAGCAACTACAGCACCTGATTGTTCAACATCTGGCAATTATTATAAATATTATTACACTCTGTACATAATAGTTTAGATATAAGTATTTCTTAAGTTAAATTAATTAAGGCCAGTTATATTATATGTTTAGAATTAGTTGTTTATATAATATTAGGAATGCAACTATGCATTATTGGATGTCGCACGATATACTAATTAGGGTTAACCGAATTCAATTACTATTAAGATTTACACAAGAACCGATTGTACTAGTTATTCGAAATAAAGTTGTGTAAAATCGCTTATATCTGGGACTTACTCAACCGGGTCTCACAATGCAAATTCACCTCAAATATCCATTTAGTTGGTCATTGGCAAGCAGGCTCTCATTGTACATGAAAATAACAAACATTTGCGATCTGGATAAAATTGATAGTTAAATAGTAAAACTCACCCGGGGTACTCCGCCCCCTAGCCACTGGTATTCTATTCAACATATCCCATTCCATATCTTCCATCTAATTCAAATATTATTCGGATCTATTGGTTAATCTTCAACAACTAACTGATGTCACCTGAAATAAGTATAGGGGCTATCCCCGGACGCAAATCTGCAGCTAAACAGATTCGCATCCCTAATAGTCACTAAGACTCGTATTCTAATAGTCAATAAGACTCGTATTCTAATAGTCAATAAGACTCGTATCCAAATAGTCAATAAGACTCGTATCGTAATAGTCAATAACATTCGTATACTAATAGTCAATAAGACTCGTATCCTAATAATCAATAACACTCGTATCCTAATAGTCAACACAACACAACACTACTACACAGCTGGCTGTCCCGTCTTCTGTTGCAGGTCAGTCAGTCTGACTGACCTGCAGCGCGTCGGCAAGCTAAGCCTCCTCTTACATCACATTTTTACCTGCTCACAAATATTTACATCGCTTGCCAATGAATCATACTATTTTCTCTAATCGACTTTCAAATTAATAGAGTGTTCTAGCATTGCTAGACAAATAAATAGAGAGTTTCCGAATTATAAAACCATTATTATAACCAACTTATTTTCCAAGTTTTACAGTTGTTTTTTTATATAGTCTAAGAGTTTCCTTCAGAGCATGTAATTGCGAACCCAAATAAGAACATTACATGACGACCCTGCCATTGCATGCTTTGGGGATATTTTAGGAAGACTATAGTATAAAAGAATGGGGAATAATCAATCCAAAGAAGAAGTTTGGTTAGAACAGTGGTGGCGTTAGCAATGTAGTTTTCAAATATGGATACCCCAACCCAAACCAAACCAAAACAAAAGTTCAAGAAGGCGTTGGAGAGGGAAAATAAGATCCGAAATTAGAAGAAGTCAAGAGCTAGTTTAGTTAAGGAATGGCATACGGTGTTAGTTCTAGAGTAATTTTAGTTTATTCTTATTTATTACATATCTATTCGATTGAGTAGATATTAAGAATAGTAGTGTTAAAAATATTGAAAATATGAGTGAAAAAAATTTGATTTACTTTTAGCAATCCTTGTTACCCCCTATGAATGGGTCTGAGGAGGCTATTAAACAATTAATTGACGCCATCGAATTATATAGCGAACTTTTAGATCAATCCAGTAAACCTTTGCTAGTTAAATATATTTTAAAGGCCAAATTAAACCAAAACGCTAAGCAGTGGCGTATCCAGGATTCATGCTTGGGGGGGTCAATAACTCAGTATTATACCTAAATATATATTTTTTTACATTAACAAGTAAGTACCTACCTAATTACAGCTAGGTACTATGATATAATGGTATAAATAATAACAAATATTTTTTTTTTTTTTTTTTTTTGATTTAAATGATTTTTTGCTAAACTGTTGACCGAAGAAAGGGAAAATACCAACAAACATTGCAGCCACAATCCGACATTCAAATAAGAACCGCAGCCTCTCCAGAGGATCAATATCAAAGAAGTAAAAAACAAATTTATGACCACTGAAAAATAGAAAATCGCCTGGTCCAGGTGAAATTCCTCTAGAATTACTCAAGTACGGCACGGATAAATTATATAAGCAGCTCGATAGTTTTTTCCAAAAGTGCCTTAATGGTGAAAATATACCGAAAGAATGGAAGACATCATATATAATAACAATACACAAGAAAGGAAGTAAAGACGATTGTGATAATTATCGAGGAATCTCCGTGCTGAGCTCTGTTTCAAGGTTCTATGGAAAATTGGTCAAAAAGAGAATTGAGGAAGAATACCGGGATATGGAGGCTGAAGAACAAGCGGGGTTTAGAGCTGGTAGATCCACGGTCGACCATTTATTTACACTGACACAGATAATTGAGAAAAAGATGGCAAGAAATCAAGAAATACATCTCCTCTATGTAGACCTCAAGAAAGCATAAGTGTACCCCAGTCTAAATTGTGGGAAGCCCTCGAGAAAACGAATATCAGCATAACATTAATTAAGGCTGTCCAAGAACTTTATAAGAACAACACTAGCCAAGTAAAGAAAGGACAAACAGTATCAAAGGGATTCAGCATAAACAAAGGTCTTAAACAGGGCTGCTGTCTATCGCCGACACTGTTTAAAATCTATTTGAAACAAGCTCTGAAAACGTGGAAAAGGAAGTGCGAACAGATGGGGATACCACTAAACAACTCGATACTTTACACTCTTTGTTTCGCTGACCAAATAATACTGGCTCGAGACTACTAAGTAACATTACATCACAAAAAATAATCATTAACACAAAAATTAACTATAAAGAAACAAATAACAAAATAGAAGAAACAAACCAGTAAAATTAGAGATAAGTAAAGCACAGATACAAATAAAATTAAATAACAATATCCAGAGCTTTTGGCTTTTTTGCCTGCATTTCATTAAGTACCTCATCTGTACTAACAGATATTTCTGGATACATATACAAAAGGGATAAGCCATTTAGTCTGTCTTTACTTACGGTGTTACTTAGGAAGGACTTTAACAATTTTAGGGTTGAAAATTTCCTTTCAGGTGTTGCCGTACTAACGGGTAAAGTGCATTTTTTTTATAAAATAAATATGTTAGGAAATAGTTTTTAGTCAAATATTAACAGGGCATCGAGTGCGGAACTTGGGTAGTCTTCTGGTGCATAGTCTTCAAATAATATTCTATGCTAGAGCTAAATTCATCCGAAACTACAGAAAATGAAAAGTTTTTCTAAGTCGTTTTTTATAAAAATCTAGCATATATTTTAGATGCGATACTTCATAATCGGATTTTTTATTCAGGGAGGGAATATAAGAGAGCTAAATGACCGTAGTATGTCTCTGTATTTAACAAATCGTTCTTCCAAATGGAATACTACGTAATCTAAAAAAGGAATAAAGATTGATAATCTGTAATAATTTTGAGCAGTTTCAGTTTTAAAATTCGGCCTGGTTTTTGTCTACTAGTTATTCGGTTTTTTTTATTTCCTGTCCAAACAATTCGTTCATGTTTCTGTTTGCTTCTGTAAAAATATCTGCGAAGCTGGTATTTAAATTATTGTTTAAAATATAAATAGGACCGGCGCGCATCGTGTCTGGAGGGGGCAATTGCCCCCTTTGCCCCCCCTTGGATACGCCTCTGGCTAAGTGCAAGTTAAATAAAGCTTATAATAGTGTTGTTGATTTAATTGAAGACATGAAACGTCGGTGGCAAGTGAAAAAATGCGTAAACATCTAGAAATAATAAGAAAAAACAGCAAATTGGTCGAAGGAATTTATCCTTACCATTTACTCTGATAAATGTTTAAATAAACTTTTCAATTTCAATCCTTCATATTTCTCAATGACTCGACCGATTTTTCAAAAACGATGCGAGGGAAAGTATACAGAATAGAAAGCCCTTTTCATCGGTACCACTTGACCCCCCTTCCCATTTGAAAAAAATTGGTGGATGACACCCCCGCTTAGAGGGTTGAAGATTATACAATAATTTTTGGGGCAAAAGTTGTCCCCCTCACAAACAAAATTAATGTGTTTTTGAATTTTCTGAAAAAAAATTACCCTGGCCGTTATGCCTTGCGGAACGTTTACAATGGGCCACCCTGTATATATTATGACCCATAATTAAGAAATAGAGATCCAAAAGTCTGTGCATTGAATATAGTATTTCAAAGAAATAATCGGCAGATAAAAACTAATAATGATGTGCACATATTTGAACTGATACTTCTTACTAACAGGTATTAAATTGAAGGATTTGAAGGACATATTTGAAAAAGTTTAGTTTGAAATATTGAAAAAGTAACAAATAGTAAAAAAAATTAATAAATAATTTGATTAACTTTCACAAAATTTGTATTAAAATGACCGTCTGTCCATCTGAGGACTCCCTATCGGGTACCTCTATCCACGTGCCAGGTTTGGTTCCAATCGACTCATAATTAAGAAAAATCCTGATTATTTCATCCATTTAGAGGCACCGGTTCGAAACGTCCAGGGCGTCGTCCTGTAGCCCGTCCCCAATTATGCCGAAATCGATCTCGATTGGTGTGATCGAGATCGATCACAGTTTTCTTTAATATTAATAATTAATTTAATTTGACATAAAAATTAATAATTTTTTTAAAATTATTAATTTTTATGTCAAAACTGTCACAGCCGGGACCCCATTAGGCCACACGCCACGCCACGCCACGTCATTGAAGATATATGCGTATGTTTTTCCATTTATGTATTGGGTATACACTAGGCAACACGCCACCCCACGTCACGCCATCCCACGCTACCACACGTGTGATGGGCGATTCGTCTGTCCCAGATCTTATATGTACATTCTTTCCCACGTCCGAACGCGTGGGCACGTGGGATAGCGTGGCGTGGCATGGCGTGTGACCTAATGGGGTCCCGGCATGACATGTATCGTACACGGTCAAGTTGGCCTTGCTCCAATATATCGACATACCAAATTTCATTTCGATTCTCTCTATCTAAGCCGTAGGTTGTGCTGTCCTTACCGCTTTTCCTGTCGCGTGTCGTATCGCGTGTCGAGTCACGGCTTTGAATTTTTACTCCCAGCGCCCGTAAAGAAGTTATACTTCAAAAATTTACAGGTGAAAAGTCGAACACTCAGTCAAAACTCGAACACTCGTCACTCAGTCATGGGTTACCTTTGGCGTGGTGAAATTTTTTACCGGTTATGGCGTTCTGGGGTCCGATGAACCCCAATTTTCTTTTCCATTTACTTGAACAATACTTGATAAATACTTGAACAATACTTGATAAAAACAAGTGTCCCTTTAACAGTTTCATATGAGTACCCTAAATTAAAGGTAAATGGCGCTGCTGAGGCCTAAATGTTAAACGTAAAAATTTTACAGGTGTTTAAATGGGACTTGGCCGCTAGACCTCACCACGCCGGTTAAGGGAATAAATAGAACTATTTGTTCTAGACTATTGTCACGTTTTTTATTTCAATGAGTTAAACAAATAATTTCGTGTCGATAACAAACAAGCATTTTTAACGCGATCGCATTTGAAAAAATGACCAACAGAAATAAATAGCAGCCGGGCATTTTGTATAAAATTCCTCTAGGGCTGTCGACGGCTCGCTTGTTCACGTTTTGTTTCTAAACAGGTGATAAATTTTCCGTATTTTTTATCCCAGCAGGCTTCGGGCGCATTAATTTTTAAGGGTTTCGGTTCAGTCGTAAAAACTCCAGTTATTCTAATAAGTTAATTTGGGATTTTTACTGTCGGCTTAATACCGAGATCCTATTAAACTTTTAGTACCATTTTCCTTTTGTTATGTATATGAATGTCTGATTCGGAGTTTCTAAATCTTGCGAGCTGTGTGAATTCTAAGAAAATTGTTTGCTTTTAATTGTAATTAATTCTTATACAGGGTGGGTCTCAAATAACTGCAAATACACTTCCCCAATAAATTAACGCTCCACAAAAAAATAACCAAAAGTTTAAGTTAAGTTTTTGTCAAAACCACTTATCCGATTTGGACGATTTTTTTTTGAATGATAGGTTATTCTTTCCACAATGTTGCTATACTAACTGTATTTTGATAGGAACCCTTTTTATACTAATACCGGGTGTAGCAATTATAAGGTGTTTTTTTAATAAAATTTGTGATACCCTGTAGAGTTGATCAGTTACAGTATCAAGTTAAAATTTAAATCACATTTTAGCCTTACCTTTTTTTACATTTTGTTTTTTTATTTACTCCATTATCTTCCTTATTATACGAGAAACAACATTTTATAGGATGACATGATTTAATATTGGTTTTAATTAACATTTTTCCATTAAACTTTCCGAAAAACACGGATTACCAGTAAATGTCAAATAGAGATGCTAGTTTCTGTGCAAACTTGTAAACTATTAGTATCTCTGAGCTGAGTTTGAAGGATCCGAGCTGTTACGAAACGTTGTCTTAATGTTGAGAGTTTTAAAAAACGTTCCTGAATCGGATTGGTTCTTCGATTCCTGCCTTGTCCCGGCTGCGACAATTACTCCCAGTATTTCTATACCGTTGTATAACTAGTCGAACCTCCTGAGTCTCAACATTTCTAAAACTAAAGCTTTGTCGTATAAAAACTCGTTGCAGCCTTTTGTACTTAACAACACCACCATTGACGTCGTAAAATCTGTAAAATTTTTAGGGCTTGTTGTGGACAATTCTCTGAAATGGGACATACATATCGAAGCTTTGTCGAAAAAATTGAGCTCTGCCTGTTTTGCATTAAGGTCTGTTTCTAAGGAGCTTAACTTGTCAGTGGCTAGAACTGTTTATTATGCACTTTTTGAGTCGCACCTCAGGTATGCCCTTCCATTCTGGGGTACGTGTTGTGCGGCTCAATTTGACCGCATTTTCAAGCTCCAGAAGAGAGCTGTTCGATATTCACTGGGACTAAACAGCAGAACTCATTGCCGGGGCTTTTTTAGAGAATTAAAAATATTGACTCTTCCTTCCTTATTTATATTTGAATCCGTTTGCCTAATACGTAAACATGTATCAGCTTCTCAAGAAAGGCCATCTCACACTTATCCACTCAGGAACGCGGAGCAAGATCTTTATCTACCTACCCCACGCTCAGAGTTAGTTAAAAGTTCAATATTATACAACTCGAAAAAAATGCACAATCACCTGCCATTTGAAATCAAATCCATAACATCATTTTTTTCATTTCGCAAAGCATTGAACTCTTATTTACTAGACAAGGCTTTCTACGCCGTAAATGAATTATATTTGAATTGAAAATCGAATTTGATCTTGAAAACACTGGTCTAATGTTTGCTATTGCTATATTTACTAATGACATCGAAATTAATTTATTTAGAGGTCATTGATATTTTGCTATAAACTGGCTAAATATTTTTGAATATTATTTTAAATTTTTTGTTCTTGCTCTTTTTAAACATT